TTGTAGTGTTTCTGCATGTATTATGTGATGTCCTTTCCCTTTATGGAGGTTTTCTAAAATATTCGTGACGAGGAATCATGATGCTGAGGTTAAAGTGACACACACGTACACACCGGAAGACGTACACATCGTAAATTCTCCCCAAAGTAGATAGGATATTGGATGGACTGACTTCCTGTAGTTTTGATTTGAGGTGTTTCCTATAATGGTTAGAGAGTGTGTTTGTGTGTTTGGGTCTTTTGTGTTTTTTGTGTTGTGCTCCTCCCTCTTTTCTCTCCTAAATAATCTATTTAGTCAATGTACTTCAAATAACTGGTGGTAAGTCAGTCCAATCATATCTTCTATCGTGTGTGATGATATCGAGTTTTCGTTTTGTATCGTTTGGTTGTATGTTGTTTTTGTGTCATCTTTCATCTAGATTCATGATCCTTTGTCACGTAAATTTTAAAAAATCCTCATAAAGGGTAAGTGACATTTATTTAAATACTATATCAAATATATACTACTACATTATTTCATGACGTTTCCGATTTTTGTGTTCGAGGGGTTATTGTGTCGTACTTGCTGAGGTAACCTCTCGTAGGAAACCTTTGGTTTGGTATTTTTTGAAGTGGCTCCATGTAGCTACTGTGTACTATGTGTATATGTGGATAGAATATCTGTGATTCGCGTTATGGTTTGTAATAATTGTTAATTTCTATTCCTCTCGCCCGTAAGAGCCTTAATCCGGTGAGTGTTTGTCGGTCCGGTCGATGGTTTAGTCTCTGTCTTGTATCTGATGATCCAAAGTCTGTCTCCACTTGTCTCCCCAACGACGTCGTGTCCGTCACCTCTCTTTATTTCTCGAAAAACTTTTAATTATCGTACCTCTGTACCAGGGTCAATGGAGTTGATGGACATTGGCTACTAACCTACAACCGACCAGTCAGACTATGGTCGTCAAACTAAGTTTTTTGCTGACTATCACTTCCGTACACTCGACTACAGGTTAGCCGAATGCGTTCGGTGTAGGAGTAACAAGACGGGACTACACGTCGTTACAAACCAAAAACATGGACGTGGTCAAGGGACTATTGTAGAGTCACCATAATAAAGGCCGTCTGGTGGCGAATCGAGACGTCTGAAGCCAGGTTCTTTAGAGTTTTCACCACCTCGTAAGAATTGCCAACTGTTTCCGTCGGGATGTAATGCAGACAGGTCACATCAATGTCAACCTATCCCCAATACAAATTTCGTGTGTGTTATATACTGACATCATATGTATCTGTGTCCTCGTGTGTTATAATACAGTCTTTTCTGTCTTTACTCTCTGTACTTATCTTGTTTTATTTCTATTCGAAGTTTCATGTCTCATTTGTTTATCCGGTAAATGTACTCTTTTTTCCTAAATTTATTGTATAATACATTTGTGTTGAATAATGTGAAGAGTTTGTACTAGTTTTATCTAATCTTGAATTACCTGTCTCTCTGAGTAATATATTTTGTCGTCTATCCAAAACTCGTTACTTTTATTATCTTCTAGGGTTGATGTGATGGTTGTCATTGTTTTTTAATTTGTTAATATGTGTTGTTACATGTCATTTTTATTTATATACTCATATCTCCATTATAATAAATAAGTTCATTTATACGTTTCCTCTTTGACCTTATATTTGTTTTTCTTCTCTTATTTTTTTGTATTCGATATATATGTAATATTTTTATTATTTATGTATCGTATATTGTTTTTCTTTAATTATTTGTATACTTTCTTTTCCGTCGTTGTCTCGTGTCCTTCATAATTGTCAGAATCCGGACTACCTTTTTGCTCTGTTTTAGGCTATGTAGTGTTTAAGTATAGTTGACTTATTACTCTCAGTTATAAAGCACTTGTAGTCTGTTAATTTTTACATGTGATGGTGAATGGCGCCTGACATTATTATATCAATGGGCGATGATTGAGATTATTTATAATGTTCAATCACTAGAACTTTAATTCGAGTGGTTGATACTACGCAAACCTTTTATTACTATAAAACCCCATTCTTTCTTTCTTGATCGAGTTGGGTTTGTAGTTTTATTGTCTTATATTGATCTTGTGTGTTGTGTATATTGATCCGTTTCACCTGATTCACCCGCGGGGCTCTAATTTCGTCACCAACATGGAAGATATTGAGGAGTTCTCCGCTTTGAAGTCAGAGAAATTGAATAAATGAATGCAGTGTCTGCGTCGTGTTTTTGTTATGTGTACGTGTTGCTGGCATGTGTACTAGTCACCGTCTCCACAGTCTCGGTTTCTCCGGTGTTTACCACGTCACGGTTAAGCTAAAAAAAGAAGAAACGGAACCGGAGTCCCGTGTAAGTCGTCAGTTGAAACTCCGCTTGTAACGTGGGAGAGATTGATGGCAGACGTTAACATAAACCAGGGTGTGGAGTCTTCGCACTGGGAAAACCAAGGGTACGATTCTTTCCGGATTCGGTCTCAGCTGTGCGGACCTAATCAGTTCGAAGTTTGTAGTATATACTATGCTCTCTCCGACACACCGCGCACCCGATCACGCAACCACAGCCTAGTCCAAGTTGGGTGACTTCCGCCACAACCTCGCGTCACCTATACTCGGAACCAGAACCTAGTCGCAAGTTTGGGGTGACGTTAGTCGTAAGCAACACCAGGGACCCTGAGAAGTGGGGTTTTAACGGGGACAACCTTAACAGGTATAATAACCATACATTCGGCGAAACCATTTCAGATTGTTCATTGTACATTAAATTATACAATGACTGTATACTCAATTTTCTGCACAGTTATTAACACAATAACATAACTATTTACAGGAGGGCACACAGAGGTAAGTACAGCCTCTTGATATAGCACCCAAGTAACTCGTCAGGCTAGTTCGACCTGGACCGACTTCAAGTACGACATAGTTTAGGTTCCTTTCTCCGAAGTATTTCAGTACTGACCGTCGGAGTCACCCGCTTTGCGTATGAAAATGTGGATACCTAGCTTCGTCTTGTCGTGACCTCCGCTCTCCACTCATTAGTGGCCTGGTCTCGTCGTGCGTCTTTTCACTTACTCCTCTTTTGTTGTGCAAATCTGCCTTAGCGGTCTTGGTTTTGTCTCTTTCGAACCGCTCGATTAGAGAAGTGCTTGGACCCGTCTCGAAAAAAAATTTGTTAAAACTACTTCTAGTGTGAAGACTGCCACATCGAAAAGGAGTATGTAAGTAAATGAGATGTTAAAAGAGTAGAGTTATCTGTGAATTCGTGGTATATTCGTATTGATATATGAAGTATTACACTCCGTCGTTGTGATATTGTCGTCACACAGCCCTCCGCTCCCAACAGGAGTTTACGATTTTTAATTCGGTGTTTTCTCTTTCCGAACAAATAAGCTTTCGTAATTAATATGGAAACAGTAAAACCATTACTAAAGACCAACCTAGCTGTCGTCTCTCTCACTCATCCATTGGGTCCCGTCTTTGGCGGTACAAGTCGTGTACGTAGTCTTAGTTACGAAGACTTCTGTTGCCTACAACCACTTACCTTGTACACGACGCCCCTGCTACCCCTCCAGTAGTCCTCTGTATAGTGTGACTCTTGCGTTTTAAGTTTTGAGTCTCCCTGCGGGCCTCTCCTTATCCTTTGTTCCACTTAGTACAGTCGTCCTCCAATCCATATGTATATATAACCGGAGATTGATTTACTTACGCACTCTAATCGTATATTACCATCAATAACAATTCTTGCGTAATACGGTGGTAAACAGACGATGTTATCTAGCCTTAAACCGTAAAATTGTAATATTATGTATTATATGAAGTAGTGAATATTCTAAATCAATGAAAAAATTTAGTAATAGTGTTATTATTTTAATTCTTTGCACTTGCCTAAAACTCTATAAAACCCAAGGTCGAAACATAGATAGTTCCGGTAATTAATGTCTCGGTAGTGATATAAACAATACAGAGTGTACTGTAGTAGTATTTAGACTTACAGTATATAAATGTAAATGTTAGAGGACAGTAAGTATCTAATTCACGACGTTAAAATGAATTGAGTTTTTTGTAAGAGTCGGACTTTTATTATATTTTGTATGCTGAGGTCTGATCAGTATTTCTTTTTCGTCTAAAGAAACAGTCACATAATACATAGACAAACCCTAATTCTAACTTATGACTCCAACCGTATTACGTGGAAAGGTCAGTTTAGTCGGTTTGATAAAAGTTACATGACAAGTACTAAAGTAGACGTCTTAAGATGTTGAGCTACACGCTTGGAGGGCTCCTCTTATACTGGATGGTACGACTATCCTGTCTTCTGAGTATTTAACCTAGTTGGAACTAGTGACTCATATTATTTCGGTGTCGTTCTTTGTTCTGTTTTCTTCCCATGCTATTTGTCTCACTGACTGGTCAGTCAAATAAATAAAAAAAAATATATACATATATGTCATATACAAATTTGACATGTTATGTAAGTTTGACCAAATGTCAGTTTACCTCCGGATATTAGTACTTTATTTATGTCGATAAGTGACGGCGTGAGACAACCGTTATAAGACCGTTCGCGACTTGTCGACTTTCCATGAAATTGTTCTAAGCAATGAACGTACTGCAAGTCCGTCTATTTGTACTTCAGGTGACTTGTTAAACGGTAAATTGTCGATTATGTGTGGTGTGTGTGTGTGTGTGTGTGTGTGTGTGTGTGTGGTGTGTGTGTGTGTGTGTGTGGTGTGTGGTGTGTGTGTGTGTGGTCGTTTGCGTGCGTGCGTGCGTTAGCGTGCGTGCGTGTGTGGTGTGTGACAGGTGGGAAAAGAACAACCGTCTTGTTTCGACTTTGCAATCTTTACCTCAAAATCAAAAGTAACTGATAGCGCCTCACTGTGATCGGAGTCACTCTCACCTCGGCTACAAGTACATTGCTTAAATCAACTTTTGTGGTCGACCTTGTACCGATCGGTGTCAGGGACTCCGTTTATATTCTTTTTCACTAAACAATAACCGTTAACTTCCTTCTTATATAAAAATTTATTTCGTTACGCTAAATTGTCTCGGAGGTGTATGTCTCGGTTTAGTTAAAGACAGTTGAACACCCGACCATACCGCGTCAATGCTGTAAACTCTCTTTTTATGTTATATTAAGGTCGTTCCAGAGTACAAAAATGAGACCCTGTAAAGCGTCGGTGAAAAAGATTTACAAGAGTTTTTTCATTTTTTACAAATCGTATGTCAAGACTTTTTTTAATGAAAAGAGGTTGTTTGCAATTAATTTTGTACTTTATTATTTGGCTAGAGTCTTTTCGGAGTTTTTGTAAGGAGCTTGATTTCACAAGAACAAAAAGGGCAGAGGCTAAAATCCCAAAGTTCCCTCCTGTCCCTCCAGCCTGAAACGCCTCCATTGGACTCCTTTGTTTACTTCCAGAACATAGTGACATCATTATGTAACACTCACGCTTCTATTGGCTAGCGCTCCGACGCATTGTACGTGATAGGCTAAGGGGCGGGACATCTCTAAGCGGTTGACCAATCACAACAGAGCCGGCCAGCTGTTTTACTAAATTAAACGATGGATTATTGATACATCCCAAGAATATGGCATTCTCAATTCACTAAATTCCCCTCCTCGAATCTTCGGTCCTCCGGTAGTGACCCGGAAATGAATTTCAGCGCGCCATGTTGAAGGACATCTCATTTCTCTAAATGCACTTCGAGGACCGAGGAGGCTCTCTGGAGGAGCTATAACCGAGGATACACTGATGGGTCCTCCACGGCTCCTTCGTGGATGTTTTTCCGGGAACAGAGATGTTTCAAAGAGTCGTGACGCCAGGCCGGACTTATCTCAGCCAATCACAGCTCTGCATGCATCCCCTGGTTATTATTTTAGTAACAGCTTGAACGGCGACGCGATGTTTACAGTGAGAACAGCTGTGAGGTCCGTGCAGAAAGCAGAGCAATGTGTAAAAATATATATAACAGGCCTACACTACTCTCTGTATTTGCTGTAGTTTAGTAGATATTACAAACAAAGAGTCAATATTTGTCTAAAACCATTTAGTGCTTCACATAATAAAATACACAACGGTTGTAGCCTGTTTTAGGAGCTGTATGTGCATGTGTGTGGTGTAGGTGTGTTGTACAGTGTGTGCGTAGATGCAGCGGACAGACAGGTATCAGTTGGTTTGGTGTCCTCTGCTTACTTTTAATAGCCTACTTGTAAATAAAACTTTTGGCCCGTAATTTATTTTCCTCATTGTAGCGGGAGAGGGAGGGGGGGGGATATATCCAGTCTCTGATAGTGTTACGTTATTATGAGAGAGCTCTGTTTGATTCTGAAATGGTATATAGGCCTATTTATATAAATATATATATATGTGTGTGTCCGCATCTGTAGCCTGTTATTGTCTCATTATACCCCACTGTGAATGAATTAAAAGTAAATATATAAGTCGTCATGAACACATCTGTGATCTGTCCATCAGACAGAGGGCTGCTGTGCCTCCTGTCATCATTAATGGACGTCTCTTTAAAATGACCGCTCAGAGGAGAGGAGTTCTCATTTCTCTAACCGCCTGCTGCTTCCCCTCCTCTCGCCACGGTTCCCCTCCTCGGCTCCTCCTCTCGCATCTCCTGTGGGCGGGACTAAGTCTTGAGGATAGGAGTCGAGGAGGGGAGTCGAGGAGGGGAGTTAGAGAAATGAGAAAGGACCTGTGTGTGTGGACTCACAGCCTCGCCACGTTCCGCCGTCTCAGGGAGGAGAAATCCCTCGGAGCTGCAGCTGAGAAAAGATTGAGTGTGTGTGTCCGCGGACTTAACGTAACGGCTCCGCGGACGTAACGTAACAGCTCCAATTGGTCCATGGGGTCGTCGTTACGTCACTTGGTTCCCGGAAGAAAAAATGAGAAATCTCCAACGAGGCGTTCTGGGGCAGCATAGACAGGTCTTTTCTGTGTTAGTTTTACTCGCTACAGGGTGTACTTTGAGGATTTGTGGCTCTGCAGACCGTTTACATGCAGAAAAACCTTCACAACACACAAGGGGACGGGTAATAACCAGAAAAGCATGACATGGGACCTTTAAAAGCTACAAATGGAAAAATAAAGCATGTTAATACATCTTTCACTATTAACACCTTTACAAGAACCTTTACTTACATGGAGCCTTTTTATTTCACTATAAGAACCAAATCAGAAAAAAACTGTCCCATAAGCAGCCTTATCTCATAAAATTTAGCTTAAAAGAGAATAAGTTGTTCATTAAATAATTTGTCTAAATACTCTATATTTTCTGAGTATGCTACCACACTTGTTAGTCTTTTTCTATGAAAACCTCTTTGAATCAGATTTCAGTCAAATAAAATGAATGTTTCAGTACAAACCAAGGCCAATAAAAGTATCTAGCTCGGACCACACCAAACTTTCTTTCAAAAGATTAAGTCTTGTTGAGTGTGCTTATTAGAAAACTAAAAAAGACGCCAAGGTTTTGACCCAATTTGGCTCTGATGTTCAAAATTGTCAGATGGACTTATTATGTGTTTAGCCAAGATTTATTTTGCTGATTTTACTGAATGTCTGCAGAGAGAATGCTTTCCTACCTCGTGTCACCCTCTGCCTTGGCAATGTGACCAAAAACATGAGCAAAGGAGTTTGGGATTATCCCTCTGAGTTCTGGCACTGCTCTCACACCCTCCATGGTGAAGGTTTTTCCTGTGCCAGTTTGCCCATATGCGAAAATGGTGCCTGAAATGGATAGAAGAGCATAAAATCACGGTGTCAATTTAGAAATGAAGAATAAATGAAAAACAATGTTTATCATATCACATTACAGTTAATAATGAAAAAACGAATTCAAAATATACCATTGTAACCCTCTAATACTGAGTCAACGATGGGGCGTGCAGTGAGGTTGTAGACATCCAGCTGTTTGCTGTCCGGTCCAAACACGGTGTCAAATGTGAAAGTCTTAGGGGGCTCGTGGGGGGTCTCCAGTTTGTTAACCTCTATGGTCCCACGGATCTCGTCAACAAGGACGGCCTGTTTGTGGTTCATCATCTTCTCTTTCTGGTTGAAGGGACGACATCGCACCACCACCTTGACATTATCATTGCCCTCAGGCTTGTCATGCTTATTGCTCTGAAAAAAGAAACAAACTATGATGAGAGATGGTTATGGCATAAGATGTAACCATCAAATATTATGTATTGGCAATTAAGGAAACCTACAATTTCGGTTCATTGACATGGACATAAGGGCCTAGCTGTCAAGTTGATTAAAATATAATACAAAGCATAGTAGGGTCCCTAGTGCCAACCGCCAATAAACACTAAAGAAGAAGAAGAAGTAGGGTCCCTAGCATTCTGCCAGGGTGTGGTATTTCAATCATTCATGTGCGTGTGTGTGTGTTAGCTCACTTATCTAACTTTGCCTTTGACATGTGGATACAGTGTTACTTGCAGCTAATTGAAAAGTGTCAGTAGCTTTGGGAGGAGAGAATAATTTGAAGTATGTCTAACTTTAAGATTGTGTTGTACAGTACTGTATTTTCACAACAGCAAAGGGACACACATGAGGGGGTCCGCTGAATAGTCTCTTTCTCAACGTGTGTCCTTGGTTGAAAAACAAATGTTAACCTCTGTCTAAGGTGTGACTCGGTCAAAACGAAGCTAGCAAGCGTTAGCAACCGTTGATGGGTTGCTAGGCAGGCAAACGTTGATGACGTTGGCTAGTTAGCTGGCTAGCTTAATAAATGGACAATGGCAGATTTTGGAAACCGTTTTATCTAAAACCCACACAATGTTAACAATTTGTGCTAATGGTACGGGCAGACCCCGGCGTTGAGAACAGTGTATCGTGTCCTTGTTACAGGAACGTAAGCTATCGGTGCTAGCCGGTTAGCATCACATCAGTGGGTCGGAGGAAGGGAGGAACCCCTTTGCAACAAAACAATACAATCGCAGTGCAAAGGCGTGTCGACTTACCGGCATGGTGAGAGGGCAGGGAAGCAACTATGGTGTACACTTAATGACAATTAAATGTGCGTAGGTTTTGTTAATTTGCCTCTTAGTTAACCGAATCATTTAAATTCCAGCGCAGTGCCCATATCAAAGGCTCACATCCGATAGCTTGTTGTCAGGTCTGGGTCAGACTGCGCATGCGTTGCACGATTCATTTTGGGGGGGGTCTTTCTTCAGTTGTCTGGTTACACAAGTCTGACTTCTGCACTAACTAGCATGAGCATCGTTGTGTACATAAAAGGAAATATATCGGGCACATATATAGGCGAATTGTTGGATTGGAAGTATCAATATACATAAAGTGTAGCATTGAAGGTGATTCAGAGTAGTGCAGTGGCATAAAAGTACAGTAAGACCAGAAATGAGTTGCTGGGCCCCCATTAACTCCCCATTCCTCACACTCTTTGTGCATTGTATGACATTCCTGTGCTAGAATAGGTCTACTGATTGGCCAAAAGTTTTCTCTGTGTTAATTTGATTATAATCACATTCATTTGGCCATTTTCATGTGTACTAAAATATAGATGGTCTTTATAATTGGTCTTGGCAAACACTGGACTGAAATTAAACAGCTAATACCTTGGTCGAGTCCGAATAAAGCTTACTGAAGATATTTTAGTATATTGATTTAAAGAAATGCTTGAGGTTTTTTGCTAAAAGTTATATTATACAACATTATATTAAAATATACTTTTTTATTTCAGCCAGAATAAGTCCATCTAAGTGTATGTAAACCCTTTAATCGCCATATTCAAGGAATCCCTATCAAAAAAAGATGCAAAAACCTTTCTTGACATAGTTCAAGAGTCTTAGGGTGAGAGTATTTGATTGTTGTTGGCGATTTGTTATTTTAGACTACCTCACAGGATGGCTGATGCACTGTAGTGTATTTTTAACGATCTAAGATGCTGTAGATATGTGGGCTTTTGGCTTCGATAAACATATAAGGCTGTAAAAATCTAAAACGTTGACAATTATGTTTTCAGGTAGTGTGGTTAAGGGGAATCTTAAAAATACAAACAAAAAGTGAGAGTAATCAAATGTATCACATAACCACTAATGCACCTTTCCTTCAATACATACATATTTAATAGTAAAACATGTATTAAAAATAATTACCACAAAGCAGTTGCTACACAGTGAACAAGTGGGATCCCTAGGGTTGCAGGTAACCCAGCAAACTCTTACTTGTGGAACATCCCAAAACCTAATAACGAGTGTTAACCTTGGCTTAATACTTCTTGCAAAAGTAATTTAAGTTGCTTCAAGATAAGGTAGGCCTACTCTTGCTTTACTTATATAATTACTTAAGTTGCACTAAAAGTTATTAATGCAGAACTTTTGCATTTCAGCAACAACTTCTCCATTACGGTATTGTTAGTTAAAGGATTATAGGTTACACATGTAAGACAACAAACTACAATCAACTTGGACGTGTAGTTTATTTCCATATAAGCGGTACGTACTTTTTATTTTACTTCATAGTTCTCTAAATATAATCTTTTAAAATATAGTTGGTTTCTTTGTGGGTTTTGACAAAGGCACTCACCAATGCGTGTAACATGGGTATTAAACAAGGAACAGTCAGTAGGTGGGATTTTGTGCAAATGTTAAATAATACATGTGTAACAAACATGCACATACATTCAAGAACACAGAATATATGTCTGGAGAATTTAACCACACTCATATGCACTCAGGACCAAAATAAACACCTTTTTGAAAGGATTGTCAATAGCAGCATTAATCTTATAACACGCATGTTGTTGTTCAGCATGTAAGTCGAGTATTTTGGCAGTTTGAACACATGGCATATAGAAATATACACAACGGTAGTACTACAGTCAACTGAGTCTCTCAAGGGCTTGAAGAATAACAGTGTGGAAGAGGCCTGTCTGCCCGCTGCTCTCCTGAGTAACCAGAACTCGTCCATCAGGTCGAGGTCTGTGGACGAGGACCATCTCTCCTTGAAGCAGACTTAGTTCTGAGTCAGTCTCGGCTAAATGCGTTGTGGTCACTCTGTGTCTGGAAAGAGAAAAGGAATAGAGGCCAGGGGTTTTCTTCCAGTTTTTGAAATCAATAAAAAATACTTTCAAGCCTACCTCATCTTTCCCTGAAATCATAAAGCATATTGATTATAGGTCAAGCAGAAAAATCAAACATACCTGCTGGGGCTGAACTGAGCTGACACGGCTGATAGCGAAGGGTGGGACATTATAGGTTTATGCAGGTTAGAGTTTAGATCTGAGGGGATGTTTTCCAGGCCTTTCCTGAGAATAGGAGCTTTTCCTTCTTTGAGAATGATCCCTGGTCCGTCTCTTCCCAACGTGAGCGATGGGGCCCACACTTCTAACGCAGGGGGGCCAGAGTTGTAGTTGGAGGAAACATGATTTCCTGGCGACCAAGAGGAGGTCCTGCGTCTGGGATGCGGGGAGTCTTCTTCTGTGTAAAACCGCACTGACTTTGCCGGCTAGGGGAGAAAAATATCTACAGTAAGGTGCATGTGGAACAGTAATCATTTAATTATTTTAGAACAGTTAACAGAGAATACTTAACTTGAGACCACTATTATACAAAAAATTGCTGCTTTTCTTACGGTGCAAGAGGGAAATTAAATTATGCGATGCCTTTATCAGCTATAGATCAAAGTATTTTCTTTCATGTTCACGTTTTTCTTCTTTAAAAATGGCATGATGCTTTACGATTTTTATCTGATTCAGGTTTCAGCAGCAAGCTTTGCAGTCTATATGAGAAAGTTTGCATTCCCTACACATCAGTAGAATCGAACACTGAAGCAATTTTTCTTTGAGGCCATTTTACACAAACTGCCTCAATTTATATTCTGTACCGACTTCTAAAATGATGACTAGTTGCAACCTAGAGTCACCAGACACATGGTGTTCATAATTCCTCTTACCCACACTGCCTTTTACATCTTTTTTCTAACCCTTTTCTCATTTTCATAATTTTAAACTAAATTATAGTATATAATTATGGATTTCAAAAACAGTAAACGAGTATTTGACCACTGAAAGCACATATCCTATGACTGAACACTTTTTATTTATTGTTTGATATAATTCGCTGTTCATCTTAAGTCTGTAGCTTTTCTCTTTTATGCAGTTTTTGTATGCCGTTTGAGTCTCAATGCGAGTATTCCCATTTTCAATACAAAATAAAATGCTCATGCCTCTTGGCAGAAATCCTAAGTATGACATTACCTTGTCTGTATTATTCTTGTATGAGTCGGGTCTGACTAGAATTGAGTGGGGTCCATTGGCAGGCTGTCTGTCGTGTGAGGCAGTGAAGTCTCTGTCCTTAAAGAGCGCAGCAGCAGAGGGCGCTGCTGGCTCAGTCATCCAGCCCCGGCCCCTGCCAGGGGTGGAGAAGATAATGCTGTTTTTCTTCCTGTGGAGGGCAGGTGAGTAGCCGGATGCTTGAACTTGTGCAAAGTGCTGTGAGTTGGACGGGTTGTTTAGGTTGGAAATATGGGAGAAATGATGTGAGCCTGAAAAAACATTGAAGCCATTAATTGAAAACGTTTTATTAAATGGAGTTATCAGAATGTGGACGTGGTTGCTTATCACTCACCTCTATGAGGGTTAAAGATGCGCCTCACAGTGTCCCAACCTTGCGAAGTCCCATAGAGGGACGGTTTTCCGGCGCCAGTGGATGACATTGAATGCTGTGCACCGTTTGGCACAGATGGAACCTGTCCTTTTGAGTAAATCGCTCCATCAGAGTTTACCCTATCCAGCGCGAGGACCACAGCAGGATTCTTGGCAGCAGTGGTTTTCTTTCCAGTTAGTGTGTTGTACTGAGAAGACGCATTAGCTGCTTTGGTCTCCAGTAGTCTGGCTGAGGTTCTGCAGTGAGGCAATGAGACACTTTAGGACATACGCACCTACTGAATATCACTTGTAATACTGTAAAGTTTATTTGCACAAAGCACCAGCCTCAGTGTTTTATTACTGTTTCATAATTCATTGAGTTCATGCTGACATGTCGTCCTGCCCACATTAAATTACTGTCTGAATCCAAATGTCATTCAGCTCCCACTCTCTGAAGTCAGGGACCACAGCCTCTCACCTTAGCACAGGAGTGATGTAGTTGCTGGGCAGAATGCCCACTTTTCCTGTTCTGAGCGATAACCCACGCAGCCAGCCTTCCTTGAAGTTTCCGTACACTCCCACCATCTCTCCTTTCCTCAGCTCCAGCTCCTCAGGCCGTCGGGGCTTGTAGGAGTATAGGACGGCACACCTGAGGAGTCAAATGGGGGAGTTGTCTTTGTTATCTTCCACGAGTATATCAAGATCATACCACAGTTTTCATCAGTATTTGAGGGGTTCTTGGTATATTTTTTTCCATCCCATTATCATATAATTAATGTACTGCTTAAAACAATGACTCACACACTGATGGAGAGCTGCTGTGTGGAGGAGTTCTTGCTGTCTGCAGAGGCAGAGGACATTTGGGGGTTCAGCAGAGCCATGGAGACGGTGGGTGGAGTCTCACTGGTCATCTTCTTCTCACTCTGTAATGGGATGGATTTAAAAGTATAATCAAATGTAAAGCACAGTGTTCTGCATGGCGCATAGTTAAAGAATATCTTGAATCTTAGCTTGACCAATTGCTTTCCTTCAATTTCCCCTTTAAGGACATTTAAAGTGTTTAAAGTGTAATCCTACATGTTGCAACGGCCGTGCTTTGAGTGCTAACGTCAACATGCTAACATGCCTAGTAGACTCCCAAAGGATTAACAAAGCTATTAGCATTAATCTCGTAGCTGTTGAGATATTTCAACAGCTAAACTGACCAGAGAAGTCTGTACTTTAAATACAGTAACTTTAGAAGATAGGATCCACTTGATTTATCCAACTCAGACTAGTAAAGCCTTATACTAACTATATCAGGAAAAGACGTTTGAATTGCATGTATAATAACAACAAGCAAAGACTGTTTTAAGATGAATGTGTGTATTGTTTCAAGACAGATACAAATGGGAACCTATCCTTTTCATCAAGTCAAATAAAAGAACTAAACCATAATCCTGGTGTTTTAACGATGATGGTCATGACCCTGTCTTAACCTGACGCTCCAACATCTACCAAAGGTGTTCA